ATCTGCTGAAGCCGCTGCGCTCGCCACTCCATTCTCCCCGCGCCTCATTTGCTCCGCCCTCAAGACGCTCTGCTCTCTCTCGCCGGTGGCCACCATGACCCGCCGGTCGGTCGCCGCCGGTGCTCCACCACGACCCAGCAATCAAGCGTGCCAGCTCCGCCTCACTCTATGGCTTTGGTGCTCGTGGTTGTGATGCCTTTGAGCTAAGTAGTAGAGCCTTCTTGGCGCCGCCGCCGTCGACCATGGCGCCGCCGTGCTCGGCCGCCGTGGAATGCATCCTTCTTCCCCTCCTCCACCCTTCCTAGTTGCCTGCTTGCATTCGTCACCTCCTTGCGAACCCGTCGCTCGCTTGCTTCTACGACCCGGCCGGCAACGACGACGCCGTCCCATTGGCAGAGTTGCCGCCGTGGCGTCTCGGCGTCTCGGCAAGATGGCCCCCTTCGCCTCGCCGAAATTTGGAGCCAAGTGGCCGTGGGTAGAAGCCCCGAGCCAGCCGCCTCTCCCTTCGCTCGGTCTGAGCGGGCCAAGTGTGGCCGTGGGCCAGATGGTTCCCACGGGTCGGCCCAGTAGGAGTAGGAAGATTTCGTTTTCAATTTTCTTTTATTATTTGAAAAGAGAAATGATTTGGAAAATGTTTGTATACTCAAATTTGCTCCAAATCTGTTGAAATAAATTTTGCTAGGTTCCTTGTCACCAAATCTACATGAGAAAAATATTGCATGTCATTTTTAAGATACTTTTCTGTAGGGCTTTATTTAATCCTTGATATTGCTGATAACTTGAAAAATATGTAGAAAAACCTATAGGCTTCAGAAAAATATGATTTCCAAGTTTGTTAATCTTCTTAGGTAATGTACTTCCTAGGAAAAATATGTGTCATGCATGTGCTATAGAAAAATCATGAAGTGTAGTTCAAGTACCTTTAATGGCTGATTTTTGTTATTTTTGCTAGAGAGCAAAATTTGTATAAAACATGCATGTGATGATTTTTGTACAGTGATTATTTGCTGTGTAAAACATAGGAAAAATATTTCCTCTATTGTTTGGCATTTTTCACAGTACAAAGTATTTTCATGTTCATAATCATGCCATAGCTTGTTATTTTTGTGGAGGCTAATCCACTCATTCAAATACCATGAAAATATGATGGTAGGCTACTTAGGGTAGTACTGTGCTATGGAAATTTTCTAAGATTTTTATAAGCAATAAAAATAGATGTTACTATTCAAACCTCTTATTAATTAGGGTTTAATCGAGTGTTGTTTTACGTGTGATTAAGAAATTAGTGAAGCTTTGGTGTATCTTTGAAGCATTTTAATAAGATGTGTTGACTTCGCATATTAGTAGTAGAAGAGAATGCAGTAGATGACATGTGCTTAGAATATATGTTCTTGGATGATGTTGACTACCTTGCATTCAAGCATATCCATTGTATTCATTTCATCCAATGCACTTTTGCATAAGCACTTACGCACATTGCATCATACAGGATCGCAAACCAAGAACCCAGTCGTCATACCCGAGGAGCCCGAGGAGCAGCTCGAGGTGCAGCCGCAGGAAGTGCCCGAAGCCGACGAGGAGGACGTTGAGGAACTTTCGGAGTGCCTCGATCACCGCCCGAGCTCCTTCGAGAGAGGCAAGCCTCGGAGCATTTCTCCCGGTTTGCAATTATTAATTAAATGCTTTACTTTAATTGATGCATTATGTTCAGGAGTTGTTTGCAACCGTTGCTGCATTATACCTTGTCTACCTTTGTTATACTATATCCTTGTTACCCTGGTATCCGCAGTCGAGTCAATGCTTAGCTGGCTTAGACTTGTAGAAGTCGGGTGATTTCCTGTCACCTGCGAGCTATAGGTGGTTACCTGGATCTGCTTGGATGACTATGAAGTCATGGTATAACTAAGTGTTAAATGAAGTTGAGACCGGACGGAGACTTACAGAGTTTTGAACTGTAGTGTTTTCCGTCTGTGTCGATTAAGGATCGACCGTTGTTGGGCCTCGAGTCATGTTGAACGCATGCCTTACATTTAGCTGGCCGGATAAAGTACCTTCCGACCGCGAAGCTAGGAGATTATTCGGGCTGAGTAGATTGCCCGCGGTGCACTGTGCTGGAGCAGGTGTGGTAGGACCCGGGGGCGAGATGATAAGACCAAAGTGCAGTCGGTCGGCCCCCGGGTACATGTGGTTCCTGGCAAACTCGAGACTCCTGGATAGTTGACTCGGTGATCAATACCTCACTTTAGCGGGTGAGTGAGGTTTGTGTAAGGAATAAATCATCAGCTGGTTAGGAATCGATTCGAATCGCCATCGCTCCTGGATAGTGAGCACTTAACTTGAGTGACTTCATCGTAGTAATGTTGATGGAATACTTGGACAGTTATAATGAATATGACAATATGGATGTTGTTAATGATCATTGGTTATCATTATCTGCTTAATCACATGTTTGCTCTAGTATAGGTGCAAATCTAGTCGACAAGTTATAAATAATTAACTTGACAATAATGTTTTTAGAAAGGTTCTTGAAATGATAAAAATACGTCTTTTTGCAAATGAGTCAGCTACACTACTATAAAGCCCTTCATAATCCTTGGTGTCACTTATTTTTAGTTATGTCGGGTAAGTCTAGCTGAGTACCTTCTCGTACTTAGGGTTTTATTCCCACTTGTTGCAGATGGGCAGATGTATTACGGCTACTGTATCAACTGCCTTTATCCTGCGATGGGTGATGCTTAGGACCATGGGCATGGTCATTCCTTATGTCTCGTCTGATGCTTTTGTTGGAGATGATCATTAGCTGGCACTGTATTTGAACTCCGTGTGAGTGTGTGTGTTTTTAAACAAATAGCTTCCACTATTTTTATTTGAACTCGTTTTGTAATAACTATGTTTAAACTCTAATGTATCTGAGATGCGAACTTTTATGTAATATGTGATGGTGACCGCTAAACTTATTACGATCTTGGCTGGGATGTAAGTTGATTTGAAATCCTTCATGATTTCACAGACTACCGGGTTATACGGGCTTAAGTTTGCTAAATCGTCTGCTCTGGCGGATGATTTTCTTACTTAATTTCGTATAATTGGTCGGTTCTGTTACAGCGATGGGGGCATGGAACCCGCTGCGTGGTTGGGTTCAGGAAGGTGTGGAGAAGTGAGGTTTGTGTTCCGTGTGTGGGTCCGTCTGGACAGGATGGACGCCCACACAGTATCATTATCGTAACCGCAAAGGTGTCTTAATTCTTCCGAAAAGGAGGATTGTGTTCTTGATCCTTCTGTATGCATATATAAGTTCCTCATAATAAGTAGCAACAAAAACCCGTTCTTTGGGCTCAGTTCAGCCCAACCCCAACACCCATGATGGCGAAAGTTACTAACCCGATGGTAAAACACAATCAATTATAATTTTGGAACCCACTACATTCATTCTACTCTCAATCCTATAAAAACATCTCATTTGAATGAAGATATTTCCTTTCATTAGTTCATAGTAGTCTTGGTTTTAATATGCCTCAAATCTGGCGGTGGATGTTTCCTCACACGTCCTACATTCCAGTTGGCTGAAATTATAGGCGACTTTCAAGTGACTCATTCCCTCTTTCCTGCATGTCTTCCTCCTCTCTGGTGCGGCAGTGGATGGACGAGGCGGCGATGATAGGGTTAGAGTTTTGATTTTCCAGGATCTCCAGCGACCTTAGAAGGAGGGTGGGAGGTGGCCGGGCTAATGACAGCGATGTCAAGTCAAGCGAGGCGAGGAGCCGTGAGAGGGCGGGTAGGGACCCGGATGGTAAAATCTTGGCGGGCGAGGGCTCGATGGCGTGGTCACGGGATTGGGATTAGGGAGGCGGGGTCAAAGCATAGCGGTGATGGTTGTGGCGACACTGCCGTGGCGGAGTGAGGCCGTGGCGAAGGCGTGAGTGAGGTTGGTAGCGGGTCAGGCTATGAAGTGGTGAGTCACGGAAGACAAACATTGCACCATGATCTTTAGCCGTTAGATCATCATCCAATGGCTCATGTTCGTCGTCCGAGAAAAATAAAAAAAAATAGACATTTTAGCTAATCGGAGGTACTAGCACCTAGACGTCTGGCGCCAGCAGCGCGTCGGGACGCAACTCCCAGTCCTAGCCAACCAAATCGTGGCCTAGCTCCTAGTCCTAGGCCCATCAACAGGAGCATCCCATCTAAGCATCCCTGTGTAACAGAAAAAGTAAACCGAAGTGCTACATGCTCGTAAAACGGAAGGGGAGAGCGTGCGCTCATGTCCCGCCGTTATCCCCAGCGCGGCCCCTCCCCAGTCTAAGAAGGATGTAAGGCAGCAGAAGGCGATGAGGGAGATACAATATCCAATCTACTTTTGAGACATGACAGATGAAACATTTAAAACATGCATCTGAAACCCTTACAACAAACAGATGAAACAATTGAAAACCATTGCAACACATACGCAACATTCACATAAAATACTTGCAACATATGTGTGAAACATATGCAACATATAGATAAACACATTTGCAATATATATCTGAAAAAACAGATAAAACATTGGAAACAAACATTCGCAACATAAGTGTACAACCATTGAAACATATGCAACATCCCGTTCTACTTTTGCAACATCCATACGAAACCCGTACCTCTTAAACCCTTGCAAAACTCTTTCATACTCTTTATTCTTTCCTATGCGCGTGCTCGATAATTTTTTCTAAGTGTCAAAAGATTAGGAGAGGGGACTGAGAAGTCTTGAGATGGATTTTTTCTATTTAAAAAAAAAACCAGTGGGAGCAATTCTTCCCTATTGTCCCATTACACCTTCTAGTGGGCCATACAGCCCAACACGGATGGCGGACCCAAACAAAATCGCCGATTAGTCCGCTTCGCTCCGACAAAGTCCAGATATACCCTTCCCATTTCTCGCGGCGGCCACGGCCCACGGCCACGCCGTAGATCTCCTCCTCGTCCCAGGGCTCCGGCGGTCTCGCCGGCGGTGAGCTGAAGTGATGGAGCTCTGGAGCAAGCTGCGGAACCTGGATGCCTACCCGAAAGTGAACGAGGACTTCTACAGCCGCACCCTCTCCGGCGGCCTCATCACCATCCTCTCCTCCCTCGCCATCCTCCTGCTCTTCTTCTCCGAGATCCGTATGTATAATCCCCCTCTTCATCTCGGATTTACCCCTCGATTTCGCTTGCCTAGCTGCGGCAGAGCTTGATCTCGCCGTACCATCTGGTGCCTTTTTTTTTTGGTTCGGTGCGGAACGAGAGTAGATTGTTGTGGAATGAATTGTGCGTGTTTTCATACTATGGTGTGAATTGGAAGTAATAGTTTGTTAAAACTCGCGGCCTGGTTAACATGCACCAGAATTCGAGTACGGCAGTTAACCAGGCCTGGGATTCCCTGTTCGGCTGATGGTTTTTGCGGCTGCTGTTTTATTATCGGAGAAAAACACTGTAGCATGGTTGAAGTGTAAAATTGCAGTACATATATTAATTTGCAGCAGCGTGTGTTATCTCGTGATGGTTTTGTTGATGTTGTATCCTAGCTGGTGTCATCAGAAGACTGGATAGGAATTGGTTTTGTACCTTTTTTTTGTGTGACTTGTGTGACCACTTGCAATGAGTTAGTTTTCTGTTTAACTTCCCCAACTAGGTTCCATCTAGTTTTTGGAATTGCTCCATCATTTTGGTGTTTGTGTTTGATGCTAAATTTCTGTTCTCTTTATTTTTGCAAGTATGGTTGCTATATGGTGCTACGTGTGATAACCTTTACCCATACTATGGGCTATAACTGATACTTGCTATTTTTTTTTCATGCTAAAATCACAAAGAACAGTTTAACTTGTTAGATGCTGCAAGTACCTCTTCTCACAATATAGCTTGCTCCATGCCTCTTTATCTAGATAATAATAGTTTATTAACTGTATGTCAACCTAATATTCTGATAACTTTCCTGTAGGGCTTTATCTATATTCTGCTACGGAAAGTAAGCTCACTGTGGATACCTCAAGAGGGGAAAGACTACATATCAATGTTAGTCCCAATGCTATTTCCCCATTGCAAACCTTCTAAATGACTTGTAATTTCTAGCAGCTCTTACAATATTTAGAAAGCAGGCTATCGAAACTTATGTTCTTTGCCATGTTTCATCCACTTCAACTTAGTCTATGGTCTATTAGCTGTGTAAAATTTGTATTTTTCTTTTGCTTAAAGATTTGACCTCAGATTGTCTTCATGTTATGTTCTTGGCGCATTAGAACTTGGCAGGTAGTGAACAAGCTATTTGTAGTGTTTATACAGTCAAATATGAAAGAACAATTAGCAAGCAGCTAGCTGAGAATATTCAGAAATTACTAATTTGGCGAGGCCCAGGTCCAGAATATGCCATTTTTTCTGTATGTGAAGATGCTGCTTTTCTTTTGGATCGTTAATGTACATAATCGCTTTTGCAGTTTGATGTTACGTTCCCAGCCCTTCCTTGTTCTCTAGTTGCTGTTGATACAATGGATGTCAGTGGAGAGCAACATTATGATATAGTATGTGCAACAATTTCCGCCACTTTTCTCTTTTGTTCTCTGTTTTACGTCTTGTAAGTTGTTTCCCAAGCTCTACTGCATAAAAGGTTTCCTGATCGGCTAAGCATCCATTTTGCAGCGACATGACATAACAAAGAAAAGAATTGACCATCTTGGTAATGTAATTGAATCAAGAAAAGACAGAGTTGGTGCCCCTAAGGTATATCGTTCCACTTGTAACTTAAACTGGCATATGAGTGAAGTTGTCCTGGTTTTGCCATGATGTTTACCAAATTGGACCTGCTTTTAGCAAATGCCATGGTTTTTCTTACTCTGGAATATAGCCATTTGGGCGTATTTTATTGGTCATGTTTTAGACTATCAGGGTCTGTTCATGCTGAAGTGCTGAACTTATGCACAGCGCATAGAGCTTACAGCTTCACAGAAATTTCACATTGGAGCCATTAGAAGATGATAGCTACTGTTTGCATGCATGAACAGAGTGCCTGAACCATAATTCTGGCACACAAAAATAATATGGCATCCAGGGGGCTGGCGCCCTCCTTATCTGGACCATTTCCTGTGATTGTCTAACGGAAGTTGGCTTCACAGTGCTAAGGTGAATTTTTCTACTGCGCAAAGGTTAAATCTCCTACCACCCACTAGAATGCATACCTGATTTTGTTGGAAAGCCGCCTCAGATGGATTCCACAGATTTGCTAAGGTTTCATGATAGCGTTCTTTATTGGAATGCAATTTCTGATGGGAACCAGAGCTTTCCTTATGTTCAGTACCTGCGATGGTTTTACGGCAATTCTATTCTTCATGGTTCCCATTTTATGGACATGTATCTCACAAATTTATGGTAAACCGGTGATGACATTTAGCTCTGAAACTTCCATATCCATATCGGACTCTTGAAACGGTCTTCAAACGTGCCTGCATTAGTTTGGGTGTTCGTTTATGTTTGCAACTTATAGAAGATGGAACATTCATCAGATAAAAATGGAAGCCTTTGTGTATATGAAACTGAAAACTTATGCTGCAATAGTATAGGCCATTGAGGTTTGCAACTTATAGAAGGTGGAACATTCACCAGATAAAAATGGAAGTCATGCTGTATATAAACTGAAAACTTATGCTGCAATAGTATAGACCATTGAGTAGACAGTTTATTCTGCATCCCTAGAAAGCATTGAGCTGCCTGTCTGAAGTTTTTACTGGGAAGCTGAAACATCAGTTGCCGTTGGTCTCCATCTCTGATGCAGCAACCGAAATGAATGGTCCAGATAAGGAGGGCGCCAGCCCCCCTGAGCGCAATATCCGCTTTGTTCTGGTACACAACACAGCACAACAGACTGCCTAAGGGCTGCACCTCACCGAGGCCCAGCTTGGATCAAAGTTGATGCACCATGGGGGGCTTGTAGTGACTAGTGACAGTCTCATAGAAGTAGAAGTGTAGAACATGGGCAGCTAGCACTGAGACGGCTGCATAGGCCGGAGTTTCCCTGGTTTGCCCCTGCATAGGTTGATCATATCATGGTCTAAAAAATGGGGCCAGACTGTTTTTTTTCAATTGTAAAAAATCCAGAACTTATCACTTTAGCTATTTATCTCAGAGACTGCTTAATGATCTGGAAAATCAGATGAGCTGTTTTTTTTGTCTTTTAGATACCATTGAGCGGTATGGGTTAAGTGAGGCGATCCATTTTTTGCAGTGAAAACTGAAAGAAAACCATGTTTCTAGCACGAACATGCAAACTTGGTGTCATCAACAACTTCCCTGTTAGCCCAGGGTACCCCCCCTTCTTTCTGGTTATCACTAATTCAATCATCTGTGTTGTCGGCTGTGCCGCTGTTGTCCCAATATGCAGCAGATGAAACAAAGATGAAGTGACTGTGTACAGTTTTTTGTTCCCTCTTTGTAGCAGCATCCATGGATTTTTATTTGCACAGAATTACTCTCTTTTACCAGTACCTTTTGATTGCTGGTATGATGCATAGAAGTGTTTTTATTTATACTTGTTTTGTTTATTAATAATGTTAGCAATGTCCATATATTTCAATATCTCTTCAGTGAGCTTTTGTATGACTTTTTTTTTCGAATAAGCTTTTTTATGACTGAGTAGAGGTACCTAGAGATTTTTTCTTTTTCTTGAACACACAAGGGAGTCGTGTATCATTATATTAAGAAGGAAAAGGGTGAAGAAACCCATACAACTCACACCCACCTCACACACTTGCACTCCTCCCTGGAAACACAAAAACTCGACCTCGACCAATGGAGGTACCTAGAGATACCATGTTAGTTATTGTTATTTTGATATTTTCTTTTACCTTCTGATAAAAATTTTGGTATGTCCCGATGACAGTCTTCTTTATATAAGAAATAGAGCTAACAATGATGTAAATACATTAAACTATTATATTTAATAAAGAAATATTGATCTGACTCGTGGACTGACCTGCTTAAAGCCTTAAACTGTGGTCATAATTTCATATTACATGTTGGAGACCACTGTAAAGATGACATGGACCAATTTGTATAATAGCGATTTCAAGCTTGGTGGTGGCATTAAGAGGCAGCCATCTTCCTTGACTAATTGTCAAATGTGGAATAACGACATATTTCTATTGCAGGAAGTTGTTTTTCCTTGAACTAATTCCCTCTCTGCATCCTGGTTTATCTTGTATAGATTGAAAGACCGTTACAGAAGCATGGCGGTAGGCTTGACCACAACGAGGTTTACTGCGGATCTTGTTATGGTGCTGAGGAGGTATACATCTCTGACATTGTTACATTGATGTTACTTGTACATGCAATGTTTTCACACTGATCATATTTGTCCCATGGTTTCTCTGTTACTCTAGTCAGTAAACACCACTAGATTTCTCCTTAAGAATTTTATTGCATTATCTAATAAGCCCTAATATTCGTGCCTGCAACATCACCAGACGGACGATCAGTGTTGCAACTCCTGTGAAGAAGTTCGTGATGCGTACCGGAAGAAAGGGTGGGCTATCAACAACGTAGAATTAATTGATCAGGTAAGGTATTGTGTGCTCTATTAATTTTGGCTAGTCTTTGAGTGTAGCACAATCATGTTCATTGAAATGAGTCAACTCTTAACATAACCCATATGCGTAGCATCTATCGTGAGCTTGTGATGCATGATTTGTCCTCAGGTCTTTAGTTCTGGTACATAGGGAGCGTTATTTTTTGCTAAATAGATAGTTTCTACCATGATTAGAAATATTCAATAGGTTTTGTGTGTTAGAGCTTGAGCTGACTTATGCTTTCACTAATTTATGCTATATAGGTTTGTGTTTCTTTATCATTTTTTTTCCGAGAACGTGTTTGGGCACGAAGGGCGGGCCTGGTGCAAGCGGTAGAGTCTTACCGCCTGTGACCGGAAGGTCCCGGGTTCGAGTCGCGGTCTCCTCGCATTGCACAGGTGGGGGTAAGGCTTGCCACTGACACCCTTCTCTAGACCCCCCGCACAGAGCGGGAGCTCTCTGCACTGGGTACGCCCTTTTTTTTTAACGTGTTTGGGCACGTATTTCATTAAGAGGAGTGTTTCTATATCATCTAACAAATTATTGTGAGGCAACCACCTCCTGGTGACATAGTCATTATATGTTTGTACTATGGGCAAGGATACTGAATAATAGGAATTATGATTCGTATCCTTATTGGCTAATGACCGGACACCTTTTTTTAACATGTACTTGATGTCCATTTCTTTAAACTTCAAAGCTATTTGTAAGCCACCTTAATTTGTTTGTGCATGACTGCATGTCGCCTCCTATTACTCCACTAATGTTTTGTGCTGCATGCAACTAATTCATGTAGAAGGTTTTGGTTCTTTAGTTTTGCTTTGTTCTTATGTTTTGCTTAATCAAGTATACTCAAAATTCCAGTGCAAGAGAGAGGGCTATGTACAAAGGTTAAAAGATGAAAAAGGGGAAGGTTGTACCATCCATGGATTTGTAAATGTGAATAAAGTAGCTGGCAACTTTCACTTTGCCCCTGGGAAAAGCTTGGACCAATCATTCAACTTCCTGCAAGATCTGTTGAACATCCAACCAGAAACTTACAATGCAAGTAGAGCTAAATTAAATTCTCTTTATCCTTGTCGGAGCACTTACCATATTGCTCATAACCGTAAACTGATATTTGTCCATTCCCCACTTTTTTTTACTGGAAACAGATAAGTCACAAGATAAACAAGCTGTCCTTTGGGGAAGAGTTCCCAGGTGTCGTCAATCCTCTTGATGGGTATTATTTGGAACTTAGACTAAACTTCAGATTGTAATTTGCATTTCACTTTGCTCTACAACTTTTCCATGGTCTAATTTCCCCAAGCGTTCCAGAGTTGAGTGGATACAGGATAACTCCAATGGGTTAACGGGGATGTACCAGTATTTTGTGAAGGTAAATTTTTGGTAATTACTAGTCATATTCTTTAATATGATTCCTTATGTTTAAGCTTCTGCGAACATGAAAATATATCAATACAGATTTCCATGGCTTCAACTTGCTAATTATATCTTTTGTACAGGTTGTTCCAACAATCTACACAGATATCAGGGGGCGCAAGATTCACTCAAATCAGGTAAATAGCCCGATCTTCTTGCCTAGTTCTACTTCTGAAGCCTAAGTTTGTGAATAATTCTCTGTTTCCTTTTGCAGTTTTCTGTGACAGAGCACTTTAGAGAGGCAATTGGCTATCCTAGGCCTCCACCTGGTGTATACTTCTTCTACGAATTTTCACCAATTAAGGTGATGAATGATATCCCTGTGATCATTCTGTATAGTCAGAAGTGTTGGCAAGCATTTCTTTTCTATCCAGCCTGAGTCCTCCATGAAACATTTGATAGCATGCAACTTTTGATATTCAATCAACCTGTTGCTCTAAAAGCGTAAAGCAGGCACTGCATTTATTACTTAGAATTGACCATAGTTCTAATTTCCCCCCTATAGCTGCCGTCTTTTGAGGCAGGGTGCCGCTATTTGAGTTCATGTACAATTTAGCCGCTATATCCCGCTATAGCCCGATATAGCTCCACTATTAGCTGTTTAGAGATATACCGCTAAACACCTTAGCCTGCTATTTAAAACATTGGTGACACTTGAATTTTCTTATCTTGTTGGTCTCTTTTCGATAACATGCGAAAATCTCCTTCTGTACAGGTATTGGTCATCCTCTATGTTAAAATTCACTAGTTTGTCTGACTGTTCCTTGACAGGTTGATTTTACTGAAGAAAATACATCGCTTCTTCACTTCCTGACAAACATATGTGCTATTGTTGGAGGTCTGTCACAAACTTCTACCTGCAACTATTTTGAGCTTCCTCCAAAAAAAGGAAAATGTTTTGGTGCTATCTAAAATGGATAATAAGCAAGAGTCTGAATTTCTAACCCATCGCTGTGGGCTTATGGCAGGTATTTTCACTGTTGCTGGCATCATAGATTCTTTCGTCTACCATGGTCATCGCGCCATCAAGAAAAAGATGGAGCTTGGAAAGCTTGGATAACTACATTTTTTGGGCATATAGCAATTAGGACCATAAGAAGGGCGGGCTTGGTGCAAGCGGTAGAGAGTCTACCGCTTTGTGACTGAGAAGGTCCCGGGTTCGAAGTCGCGGTCTCCTCGCATTGCACATGCGAGGTAAGGCTTGCTTACTAACACCTCTTTTCAGGACCCTTACAGAGGCGGGAGCTCTCTGCAGACTGAGTGACGTCCTTTTTTTTATAGCAATTAGGACCATAGTGAAAGCGAGTTTAACTCGTGCTGCACTGCCTCAAAAGGTTGACGAAGATAATTCAAGAGGGATTCTGATCCGCTGGGATGCATCTGTAGCCATTCAGACTTGTTAGCTTGTCTAAAGCAGACGGCTGAGGCCTGTAGACTCTAGTCGTGGATATGCAGCTCCGTTATGGGAAAACTCTCTGAGCAGAAGCATCACTGCCAGCGAACGTTTGAGTTATTGGCCAAGTATATTGCAATGTGCAACTCAGACCGCTGTTAAAATTTGTGACTCTGCTCCGTGCCGCGTATCACTTTTGCTTGGGTCGCCGTCTCCAGCATTTACTCTCTGGACTTGGATGAGGCCGGAGCTATTTTCCCGGCACGCAAGTACACGCCGCGGCGGCGGAGGCCACGCGCGCCAGCGGCCGTGTGGCTGCCCATGTTGCCGTCCCAGCTGCCGCGCGCGCGGTCGGTCCGGCGCCTTGGAAACCAGCGGGAGGCAAAGCAAGCGCACGGCGGGGCGGGTGCTCCTCGCCCGGCCGGCTGGCCCCGGTGTGTCGTCGCCCGCCCTTCGCCACTCGCGATCGCGATAGGCGCCCAGGGGCTGGCAGCCCGGCTCTGCGAAGCCCTGAAAAGGAGGTGGTCATGCGGGCTATCGCGCGGGCCTTTTCACGTGGCCGATGGCAACGTTACCGGCAGAGGAGAGGAGAGGAAGGCAGGATGGGCCCCCACCCCATCGTTGTCGTCTCGTCTGAATTTTTTATTTTTTTGGCCTTTTTTTTGAAAGTTTATCACAAATATGTCTCTAGAGGTATGCTTTCAAAATCTGGACACTTAGCTCAGCGCCATTGTTGGTGGCGCCGAGCCTACACGTCTCGGCGCCAAAGTGTTTGGCGCCTAGGTCGGGGGGCCATGTCGGCATTAAAGTAGAGCCGAGGGTGACATGGCAGCCAGCTCGGCGCCGTGGATCTTGGCACCGAGTTTGGCGTCGTAGATCCTGGCGCCGAGCCGGCCTTACATGTGGGTCATTTTCATTTATCTCTTCCTTCCTTTCATTTTCCTCTCTTCCTTTCTTCTCTCCCGACGCCGCCGCCCTTGCGTTTCCGCGCCCCGTCCGGCAGCAGCGTCGCGCCCCAACGCCCGTCTGGGCTGACCTGACCGTCACGATCACCGCTTGATGGGCCATCATGGCGCGCCGCGGCCGCTTCGAGGTGGCCTCCCGCTGCCATCGCGCCTGCCCATCCATGGCATTTGGCTGGGCCGGCCGGCGGCGCGTCGCGCTTCGCGTCCCGTCCGGCCGTGCTACGCCGGCGGAGATCTTGATGTAAGTCTTCTTTGGTGGCGTCCGCGGTGGCCGCGTTCTGGTGGGCTACGTGCGTGCGGACTTCCAACTCATCTTTGTCTTTCGTCTACGCCCGGTGTCGTGTCGTACTCACGGCGCTCGTCACCATCCCCAACTAGCCCTTCAACCGTAATTCCGCTCAAGTTGCTTTCGACGCCGCCGAGGCGAAGCGCCACCCGCGCTTTCAGTCGGCCGCCCGGCGGCGGGGGTAAGAAGTCCGGGAAGAACAAGTAATTGATCGATATGTGTTCTTGGTCGATTTGACTCAACTTGTTTAAGTTCTATTCATTTGAACTAATTAATGATAAAAGAGATTGAGATATTCGACGCTTTTGGTACTTGAATGGCTCGATTGTAGCTGAAATTTAGATTGCAATCTTGCACGCTAGTTATCGATTATATATGCAATGATGATCTAAAAGGATGACAATATGCTTGGTTATACTTATGCTTTTCCATTGCTTTAAATCGTATCTTCCATTGATTTAGATCAGTAGGCCTATTAGCATTTTGTGGAAGGGTTTTTTTGACTTCCGATGCATATCTATAGTTGGATAGTGAGTTTTTAAAGAGATTGCATAGTTCCAGTTTGATCCCTTGAATATGTTGTGTCGGGGACCAATACTAGGGTACCTGAAGAGGAGGAGCTAATAACCATCAACATTGATTCATCCGAGCAGTCAAGAGCGCAACTACAGCTCCAACCGACCCCCAGGTGCGCAAGCTCCGCCTCGCCCGACCTCACTGGGAAGGGCTCGCCTCGCTTCGACCCCAAGGCATGGCTCACTCGCCCGACCCTTGGGTCTACACTTCGCCTTGCCCGGCCTCTAGGGGAGGACTCCGCCTCGCCCGACCCCGAGGCCGCGGGCTCCGCCTCGCCCGACCGTTGGGTCTGTGCTCTACCTCGCCCGACCCTTGGGTCTGCGCTCCGCCTCGCCCGACCTTTGGGTCTACGCACCGCCTCGCCCGGCCTCTGGGAGGACTCCGTCTTGCCCGACCCCGAGGCCGTGGGCTCCGCCTCGCCCGACCCTTGGGTATGCGCTCCGCCTCGCTCGACCTCTAGGGGCGGGCTCTACCTCGCCCGACATCGAGGCTGTGGGCTCCGCCATGCCCGACCTCTGAGGGATGGTTCCACCTCGCCCAGCCTCTGGGGGAGGACTCCACCTCACCTGACCCCGAGGCCATGGGCTCTGCCTTGCCCGACCCTTGGGTTTACGCTCTACCTCACCCGGCCTCTGGGAAGACTCTGCCTCGACCTCTGGCGAAGCGGGATGAGGACGCCGGTGAAGGCGCCTCCAACCGTCCCAACAAGAAGAAGAACAAACAGCGGCGTGAGGGCTCGCTCGTGGCCACTACCGACCGTAAGGGAGGCCGGAAGCCCGCCGAGGGTACCCCGAACCACTTTGAGAGGCTGCTCGAAGGGCCATGCTTGAACCATGCTTTCCCCATCTAGCACCTATACAAGGACTGCGGACTCTTAAAGCGGTTCTTGTCCGAGGGCTTCAACAAGGGAGAGCGTATGAAGGAGACCAGCTAGATGAAGCGCGCGACGACGCCCTCCTCCGCTCGGCCAAGTACCAGCAAGCGTTGCGCCGGTACCACGGCCGTCGAGTGCGGGGTCAGGCCTTCAACATCAGGGACCTGCTTCTCCACTTCATCCAGAGCAACACTTTCTTTTCACCACAAGTTCTCTCCACCGTGGGAGGGACCGCTGAAAGGTCCTTGTTGGTTTTGGTAATTGAGTGACAACCTAGGTGGACTAATTGTGTTTATGTGAGATACACAGGTAATTAGTCCATAGGTACATGTGTGTGAGCAACATATGCCATGAAGGTGAAAATGGCTTAGAGATGTTGCAAAGCTCACACATGTGATGATGAAGGAGCTTAACGCACATGAGACATGACATTGAGTCATGTGATCAAGGTAGAGAAGATCAAGACAAGACTTGGCTTGATGGACCGGTTGCAAGCGTGAAGGGCAAGTCGAAGGCTTTGGAGTGATGGACCGCGTGGCGGTGAAGCTTGAGCAAGACTTGGCGCTGATGGACGATGGCAACGGTGAAGGGCAAGTGAAGTCAAGATCGATGAACCAATATGATCACGTGATGATATGAAGTGGATCATATCATTGTTGATAGTGTTGGTGCATGTGTTGCATCGACATTGGAGGAGATGGAATGGAATGCGCAAGGCAAAGGTATAACCTAGGGCATTTCATTTCACCGGTCATAGGTGTGTAGAGAAGTTTATGACCGGGTTTAGGATAGATGGCCGTACTATCAAGAGGGGCAAACTTGTTTGCATATCGGTCATCTAGTGCCACTCGAGTGATCTAACTTTGCATTGTCGCTAGGATCGAGTGGCGTGGCAAGTTGAGTGGCTAACATCCTTTGGGAAATGATTGTGAAAATGCTAACACACATACACATGGTGGTGTACACTTGGTGGTGTTGGCACATTTACAAAGGAGGTGGTGTTTGCAGGGGTGAGATGGGTTTGGGTCCCTCTCTCCCTCCCGCCGAGCTTGCGTTGTGAAAATAGAATGCCTATTTTCTATTGCGTTGTGAAAATGCTAACACGCATACACATGGTGGTGTACACTTGGTGGTGTTGGCACATTTACAAAGGAGGTGGTGTTTGCAGGCTCGGCGGGATTCGGCGTTTTCGGGAAAATAGAATGCCTATTTTCTATTGCGCCGAATGCAAGTTCTTGTGGTTAGCACATTGGAGCAAGGGTGATGAAGTTAGAAGTGAAAACGAGTTAGTCGCGAAGATGCTGGCGTCGGTCAACTGACCGGACGCTAGATCTGAATGCACCGGATATTTGGCAGCTGCGTCCGGTCGGTAACGTCGATGACGTAGAAGCTGGAGTGTGACCGGACGCTGGTTGCGTCCGATCAAGTGTGACCGGACGCATCCGGTCGAGGTCGGTACCTTACTGGAAACGACCGGACGCTGGGGGTTCAGCGTCCGGTCAGTTGAAAGCTGCTGCGTCCGGTCAAGTTAAGTGACCGTTGGAACCGGGACACGTGGCCGTCTGCGGGTGACCGAACGCTGAGGTCCAGCGTCCGGTCAACACGACCGGAGCGTCCGGTCGGCCCGACCGTTGCCTAGTGAAGGGGTAACGGCTAGTTTAGCCCTTGGGGCTATAAATAGAAGTGGCCCTCGGCCATGGTGGTCTTGAGCACCTCAAGGGACTTAGTGTCCATGCTTGTGAGTGCTTGGGAGCCCTCCATCACACATATACTTGATAGTGATCATTCGATTGTGTGAGTGAGCGATTCTAGTGCGATTGCATCATGAGGTTGCATCGAGTGGCACTAGGTGGTCGTGTTGCAAGCCGGTGGTGCTTGTTACTCTTGGAGGTTGCCACCTCCTAGGCGGCTTGGTGGTGGTCTCCGTCAAAGCTCATAAAGAAGCTTGCGGCGCTCTGGAGAAGTG